TCCCTATGCTGCACTTGGCCGGTTTCAATGTCAAACCAGCTTCCTTAATCCTGTCTAGAACCGCTCCTATATGGGCCAAGTGCTCCTGCCACGTATTGCTAAAAATGGCAATATCGTCCAGGTAGGCACAGGTGTAGTCTTGGAACCCATCCAGGAGTCGGTCTACCATCCGCTGGAAAGTAGCTGGGGCGTTTTTCATCCCAAATGGCATGACCTTAAACTGGTACAAGCCAAATGGGGTGACAAAGGCCGATTTCGGGATGGCCTCTGGGGCCAGGGGGATTTGCCAATACCCCTTACATAAGTCAATGGTAGTGAGGTATTGACCCCTGGCCATTCTGTCCAGTAGCTCATCTATCCGTGGCATAGGGTATGCATCGGACACCGTTTTCTCGTTTAATCTCCGGTAGTCTACGCAGAAGCGGGTCGTACCGTCCCGCTTCGGTACGAGTACTACCGGAGAAGCCCAGGGACTATCTGAGGGCTCAATTACCCCCAGTTGGAGCATCTCATCGATCTCCTTGCGCATGTTTTCCCTTACCGCTTCGGGGATGCGGTAGGGGGTCTGACGCATCGGTAATTGCCCTGGGGTCTCTACCCGGTGAGTGGCCAGAGGGGTGTACCCAGGTACGTTGGAGAACGTGTCTCGTTTCTCTTCCAACAGCTGCCGTACCTCGATGCGCTCCTGTGGGCTCAGCCGGTCTCCCAGTGTGACTTCCCCTAAATCCCCAGACATCTGCCCATCTTCCAGCAGATCTGGGAGTGGTAAGCTGTCAGACTCATCTGAATTGGGCGCGCATATGGCGGTTACCTCCTCGGAGCGTGCTTGGTAGGGCTTCATCATGTTCACATGGAGCATGCGTCGCCCTCCCGTCCCTGTACAGGAGCCAATTATATAGGTGGTGTCACATCTCTGTTCCACCACCTTATAAGGTCCCTGCCAGGCGGCCTGTAGCTTGTCATGTCGGACAGGCTTTAAAATCAGCACTTTCTGCCCGACCTGAAAGCTACGGTCCCTAGCTCCCCGATCATACCATGTGCGCTGGCGAGTCTGTGCCGCCTGAAGGTTTTCCCTTACCGTCCTGGTTAAGGCTTCCAGGCGGTCTCGGAGAGCCAACACATAAGGTATGATGGGGGTGCCATCTGCGCTCCGGTCTCCCTCCCAATGCTCTCTTATAAGATCTAGGGGGCCTCTGACCCTCCTCCCAAACAGCAGTTCAAACGGGGAGAACCCCGTGGATTCCTGCGGCACCTCCCGGTAAGCGAATAGGAGATGCGGCAGGAACCGCTCCCAGTCCTTGTGGGTCTCTGCGAAGGTTCGGAGCATTTGTTTCAATGTGCCATTGAACCGTTCGCAGAGCCCATTAGTCTGGGGGTGGTAAGAGGCACTGATAATAGGCTTAATGCCACAGATCCTCCAGAGGTGTTGGGTGAATTCTGCGGTAAATTGGGTACCCTGATCCGAGATAATCTCCCTGGGTAATCCCAACCGGGAGAATATCTGCATGAGGGCATCCGCGACCGTTTCAGCCTGAATGTTGGTCAGAGCCACCGCCTCTGGATATCTGGTAGCATAGTCTACTACCGTTAAAATGTACCTTTTGCCTGACGGGCTGGCTTTCTTGAGGGGACCTATCAAGTCTACCGCTATTCTGCTAAACGGTTCCTCAATTATTGGCAAGGGGTGTAGCTTCGCCTTCCTCCGGTCTCCCCTTTTCCCTACCCTCTGGCAGGTGTCGCAGGTGGTGCAATACCGGCGCACTTCCTGGCTGATCCCTGGCCAGAAGAAATTTTGGGTCAGTCGATACCTAGTACGGCTGACCCCTAGATGTCCGGATAGCGGGATATCGTGCGCTATCCGGAGTAGCTCTGCTCGGTACCGCTGCGGCACCACTAGCTGCCTCGTCACTATTGGGTCTGACCCCTCAATCTGCTTGTCTGTCTCCCGGTACAAAAGCTGCTTGTCCCAGACAAATCTCTCCCCCCCTCCCTCCGGAGGGTCTGCTGTCACCTTGTCTCTGTATACCTGCAAGGTGGGGTCAGTCACTACCTCTGCTGCGAATTCGTTAGGAGGGGCCCAGGGGACACAGTCAAGGGAAGGGGAAGGGTCTCTTACCTGAACCTCCGGAAGTGTGTTGTAGTCCTGGGTGCGGGCCTGTTGACGGGTGACCACAGGATGAGCTTCTCCTGTGGTGGGCGTCTGGGGCTCAAAAGCAGATGTGAGCCTCCCCAGATCGTTCCCCAATAAAACCTCCGCCGGTAACTGCGGCATCAACCCCACCTCCACATGTCCTGCCCCCGCTCCCCAATGTAAATGTACCCTTGCTGTAGGTAGCCGGTACACTGCTCCCCCAGCTACCCTGACGGCCACAGTTTTACTTAGTCTCGCTTCATCCGAGACCAGATGACTTTTGACCAAGGTGATGGTAGCCCCCGAATCACGTAGGCCCTGTACTGCTTTACCCTCCAAGTATACGGTCTGCCTGTGATGTTGTCTGTTATCAGCATTGGCCTGGACTGGATCCGCCTCGTGTAGTACTTCCCACTGTTCCACGGTTGTTATGGGAACAGCTGACCCATATGGTGTGGCCACTATATTTTGGTAGTGATGGGCGGCGGCTGCTCTCGGTGGTGGTGGTGGTGGGCCGGGGCGAATCCAGGTAGAACGATCCCTCAGCTGGGGACATTCCCTTTTATAATGTCCCCACTTCTGGCAGTGATGACAGGGGCCAGAAGCGGGCTGGCGAAACCGGGGCTGTACAGCGGGTGGTGGTGGTGGTAGTTGCCTCGGTGGAGCTGGGTTGTAGCTGTTTCCCCCAAAGGTTTTAAAAATAGCTTTTGGGGCTGCTGGTTTCTGCTGCCTGCGTGCATCCAAGTACTCATCGGCCTTCCTAGCAGCTTCGGTAAGGGAGGTAGGGTTTCTGTCCCTCACCCATTCCTGGACCTCGCCTGTTACCCCCTCATAGAATTGCTCCAACAACACCATTTGCAATAAGTCCTCCATGGACCGAGCCTTATTAGACTGTACCCACCCCAGAGCGGCCCGATGCAACTTGCAAGCCCATTCCACATGAGAGTCCTTGTCATTTCTCTTTAGGTCTCTAAACCGTCGCCGATATGCCTCTGGCGTGATTGCATATCGGGCCAGGATCACTTCTTTTACTCGGCGGTAATTCCGAATTTCCTCATCAGGTACAGTTCTATAGGCTTCCGCCGCCTTCCCTGTGAGCTTCCCTGCTAAAATAGGCACCCACTCATCTGGGCTAATATTATGCAAGGCACACAGCCTTTCAAAGTCTTGGAGAAAAGCATCTATATCTTCCTCTGCTTCTATATACGTTTTAAAGGCTTGGTAAGGAATTTTTGTCTTACCCTGTGTGATGGTAGTTGTGGTAGCATTCCTCTCCAGCTGCTGTAGTGGCCTTTGGCGCAGTATAAACTCCTGTACCTCTGACATTGTCCTGGATATAATATCCGTTGTTGGATTCTCTCCATAAAAGGACAGCCTGAACTGCACCTCTCTCCGGAACTCTTCTTTTTCATCTGCTGCACTCTGTTGCTCAGGGATTACCCTGTCCTCCTGCTGGTATTCAGCCATCACTTCTGCAATGAGGATTGCTTTCTTTTTGTTGCTGGCTGCAATACCTTTCGCTTCCAGGAGGTCTTTTAGCGTGGATCTTTTAAGCTTGGCATAATCACTCTCCATCCGTATTCCATTAGTACTTGTTCCCTTGTGAGTCTGGATCCCAGCGCTGCCAACCAATGTAGCGGAGATGCAATATTCCCCAGGTTATCTCCGCTTATAATCCAAGTGAGGTTCAGGAACAAGTAAATAATAAATCCATAGGCAAAGTTTCCAGCAGGTAAAACAACAGCAATATCCCCACAGCAATCCCAATAACTGGACGACACACAGTTTCAGGAGCAGAACTGACAAGCCTTTAATCACAGTCTCCTTATAAAGCATGCTCCCATGCAAGGGAGGGATTACAGTAATTATTACAGTAGCCAATCCTGTCCTGGTAACCTCCCACACATCTCCTCCCCTCAGCCAGCATCATAATCCCTTATCCAGTACACCAATTCCCCCCGTTTCTGGATGTACCCCTAAACGTAGGGGTACCTCTTTAAATCCTACATCCCCTGGTAGCCCTGATCTGGGTGAACAACATATCCAAAAACCACCCAGATCAGACCAGGAGTTCGGGAAAAGTATGGAGGGAATAAAATGACCGACCGCACGAACTGAGATAGCCGAATTCGGTTCCATGTGAATGGGCCCTGCGGTCGGTCCTGGCATAAGGGAATAAAATACACGAAAACCTCTAGCTATAGAGGCTAGGGAGGGTTCGCCTGAATCCCCTCGTTCGGTATTCTCTATCTACCGAACGAGGGGCCGTTCAGTAGTTTGGAACCGAACGGACCAGGGCTGTGGAGGTCTCAGCGGTGTTCGCCTACTCGAGTGTCCGATTTTAGTTCCAGACACTCGACGGCAAAACACCGCTGTTCGGGAGTTTTAAAATGGCCGCCGCCACGTGTTCGTTTGTCGAATGGCGGCCACCCCCGAGAACAAAGGACGGCTACTTACTGTTCAATTACCCGTTCGCAACAATGTTGCAACGGGTAATTGAGGACACACTTCACACAGGGGAGGTCTGGTTGTTCGGTAGTTTCATTCGAATAAACTAAGGGAACGAAACTACCGAACAATCACAAGAATACAAGGCTTTAGAACACATAGGAAACTAACAGATCACACGAATGCATTTATTTCACAGACATTTGCAGGACAGCCCAGTGCCATCCGCTACAGCCCCGATGAAAAAACTATTAGGCATATGCTGTGTGACACCTCGAATGTCCCGCAGCAACACTGAAACAGTCCATCCGCCTGTCCAAATCCCATCCTCATCTAAGATCTTAACAGGGGGGGATTTAACATCCCCAAACCTCTTAGTCCAAACAAGGATGTCTGCTATGGGGATGGATTCATTTCTCACCAGGAAAGTGACCTTCTTAAGACCCTGGCGAGAAATGGCCACAGCGGTGAATCCTGCCCACTTTGTACCCTGTGCAGACCTGGCCGCTTCCCACCCAGCCCAGAAGCGATCCAGGAGCTGCGACGTCATAAAGGAGACGTCGAACTCCCGGGTGCCCGAGGCATGGATGAGCGCGTACAGGTCCACGGGCGCAAATCCCATATCCTTTAGCCGGGTCACCAGCCACCGTCTGTCAGGCACCTGGGTCTCACCCCCACAGATGAGCCGTACCACGTTCCTCCTGTTCCCAAAGGAAACCTGAGGACGCGTAGCAGACCCGTCCGCAGAGAGGCGAGGTGGCCCAGATGCCCAAGCATTGGGCGCACCGGGACCGGCCGTCTGGGAATGATTTGGACGGACTCCCCTCGCTGAACCAGAGGCCTCGGTCACACCAGAACCCTGGGTGACAACCTGGGAGTGCCTAAGGGGAACCCGTGTACCTGCTTGTGCGTCTAAACTATTTATAACCGCGGCACCCTTTGTCAGGGTGCCTGTGCCCGTGCTCGTGCCTGCCACCTGTGTACCAACTAACTCCAGTGAACCAGGGGCAGGGGCAACATAACCTGAGGCGGGGGCAACATAACCAGGGGCAGGGGAAACAGTACCAGGGGCAGGGGCAATAGTACCGGGGGCGGGGGCAACATAACCAGAGGCAGGGGCAACAACACCAGGGGCAGGGGCAACAACACCAGGGGCAATAGTACCGGGGGCAGGGGCAACAACACCAGGGGCAGGGGTAACAACGCCAGGGGCAGGGGCAACAACACCAGGGGCAGGGGCAACAACACCAGGGGCAGGGGCAACAACACCAGGGGCAGGGGCAACATCATTAATACAAACAGGCTGGCTGTGGACCTTTTTACTAAGGCCAATAGGTCCCATCATTACATTTACAGTTACATCCATACTCCCATCCTCCTCAGCCATCCCTAAACCACCAGTGGAGTCAAACACAATGTTAGTCATACTTTTCTTACCTCCACTGGCGGTTTCCTCAGTATGGACTGCTGGCTGAGGATGATGGGAGTCCCCTGCAGTCCTGTCTTCCATAGCGCCAGCGGCACCCGCGGCACCCGGGGCACCAGGAACAACAGGAACAACAGGGGGACTGGTTACACATGCAGACATAAGGGGAACACATAGGGAAGCAGGGGGAACAGACTGGAAGACAAACTTGGACACATCCAGGGAAACAGACTGGGGGACAAACAGGGGAGGAGACTTGCTGGTAGGGGAGAGCAGTCGAGCTTGCTCCAAGGGAGCAGAGGGAAAAGGAGGGCCATCACCCTGCTCCAGACTGCTCCATCCAGTGCCATCCTGCCCAGCAGCCGCCTGAGGACAGGAGGCAGAGGTACCAGCCACTCCAGGGGACGCAACCACACGGAGAGGAAGGTCAGAGGGAAGGCAGGTAAGGGAGGGAGTGGGAAGGGAGCAAGGGAAGGACCCCTCCATGGGATCACCGGTACACGCCATAGTACCGGCGGGGATGGTCTCCCTGTCACCATGGAGGGCGGCGGGGGGCCCAGATACTTCCACAGAGGCAGGTTGTGCAGGTTTCTGGGGCATACAGGTGTTGCCACCTGCAGGGTTAGTATCCCTGGCCCCAGGCTTCTGCAAGGCCTGAACATCATCATTGTACATATACTCAGCATTTGAGCACTCACCCTCCTCTGTGGAATCTCCAGACCCCCTGACAGAGGTCTCAGGCTGACGCCGGGCGATGTTTTTCTTTTTCTTCTTTTTCTTCTTTTTGTCCTTTACGGAGTCCTCCCCAAGTTCGTTTCCAAACTTGAGGAGAGACTCCTTAATCAGCCCTCGACCTCTGTCCTGCACTTTCAGCTGCCACTCTTCACCTTTCTCTCCGTCCCACTCCTCTTCACTGTCCTTCTCTCTGGCCTTCCCCTCCGTCTCAGCAGCGCCCCCTGGAGTAGCAAGGGCAGAGGTAGACGGCTCCCCAGGTGAGTGATGGGAGTTGGAATCCAAGTCCTTGCTGGACTCCTCACCTGGGGACATGTCTCTCCTGCCCTCCATAGCCCTCTGCCTCCTGGACCTCGCAGCGTCCTTGGCTCTCTGTTGCAGGATGGCCTGGATGTCTGCTATTTTCTTTTCAGTCTGGAGCAGGGTGTAGGATAGATGCTGCTCCACTAATTTTTTCTCAGCTATAGCGGCCCTCAAAGGACCTCTTTTGTAATTAGAGGTCCTGTTTGATTTTTCCCTCTGCTCCCTTAGCTCTGCCTGGACCCCAGCTAGGCCCGAGTCTGCCTCGGCATGCTGGGCCTTCAGGGACACAAGCAGACCCCGGAGCCTGTCAGAAGGTAGCCCCATAAAGACCCTAGCCTCAACCCCCTCACCCTTTGCAGCCTCAGCATAGGTGAGGGAGGCCTGAGGGGCCTTGCTGGCACTAGCCACCTCAGGGGGGGTTTCAGGGACTACCTCCTCCTCGGTACCCTCTCCCACCTCCAGGGACGGGGGGGCTGTTCTAGGAAGTGGAGGCCACTGCTGGCAAGTTCACGGCACTCAGCCAGCAGCCCAGAGAGCAGCTGGATATCGGCCCTGGTGTGGGCCGTAGCTCCCTGGGGGACCCCCACTTCCCTTTTCCATGCTGTAAGCTTCCTAGACATCCCCCCCGCCAGTTCCTCCAACAGGGAGACCTGGTTTCGTATTTGCCGGGAGAGGGCCTGATGCTCAGTCCAAGACAGGCCCCTGGTATCCGCCTTACCTTCCCCAAAAGCCAGCACTGCCTGCAGCTCGTCCAGCCTGACCTTCCATCCCCAGGCTGGGGAGGAAGGCCCGAGGGCCATGCTTGCCTAGGCCCAGGCAGAGCCCCTTGCTGTAGTAATTCCAAAGCCCAGAAATCGAGCTCCAAAGCAGCCACAAACGGGTGTGGTCCTGGGAACACACAGATGAAGCACAGAGCAGCTCCCTCTCCAGCAGCAACGGCAAACTCCTCCCACTCCAGTGGGAGGGGAGACAGTATTTTATTTTATTTAGTTTGTAAAATGCTTCCAAAATTAAACAGAATAACAAATTAAATAACAAAATAACAATAATAAACAATCAACTGAAATAATGCCCAATTCAAACATAATACCAAATGAAACATAAATACCGAAATAAAAACTCAGGAAGGGGCACTAATAGGGGAGTAAACTTATACAAAATTAAATAACTGGGAATAACAGGGAGAGGGATTAACAGAAAAGGGGGGAACTAAATCATAAGGGGATAAATTAAAAGGCGGGGGGCTCCATTACTTCATGGAGCCTTGGGGAGGGAGAAAAAAGGCTGAAATGCTCCTGAAGGAGCTCTTACATAACAAGGGGGGACAAGGGGGGACCCAATTGACCTCGAGTCCACAGCCAGCTAAACACAAACATAAACCAAGCGTGAAATAAAATACACACATAAACATAAACAAACCCATTAACCACATGGAGTCCTTTTCTCAGTTCATAAAACCCACCAACCACATGGAGTCCATCCCTCCGTCCATCAACACCAACCCACCACCTACACTTTAAACCCAAACTTTAAACCCAAACCGACCACCCAAATGGAGTCCATTTTCAATTCATAAAACCCACCACCCTCATGGAGTCTATCCCTCCGTCCATCCCCCAAACCCACCACCCAAATGGAGTCCTTTTCTCAGTTCATCACATCCAAACCCACCACCCACATGAAATCAAAATTTTGTCCATAGACCCACCACCCACATGAAATCCAGTTTGTACACCACCCTCAAGGAGTCCATCCCTCCGTCCATAAAGAAACCCAGTGTTTTTTTTTTGTTTTTTGTTTTTTCCCCACCCAAAGTAAATTTTTCAATTTGTCCATACACCAGAAACCCACCCTAACCCAAACAATACCAAAAATAACCTGTGCATAACCATAACCTAACTACACTGCACTACCTAGATGCAGAGGAAGGTACTCGTCTGCTAAAGGTGGCAGCCTTCCATGAAAAGAAAAACCAGTTCAAAATCTACGGGGGAAAGGTGAAGACAGATTTGGAATTCCCTTCACCAAGACAAGGGCGCCCATGGAGCGGTTCAAGGCGGGTGGACCTTGAGATTTCGCCACAAACGCTGCCAAATGGTGGGATCCATAGAGGCCCTTTCGGTGGTATAGATCCCACGAACCGCCCTCAGAATGTCTGCTACCACCACCTGACAGGAAAGGTCTTTATGTTGAAGGGAAACCTGACACCTTGCCATCCAAGTGAAATACTTAACCACTGAACTGACTACATAAAGAGTGCCCAAATCAAAAGCCCTCCCCCTTGAGTTGGACGTCCCGTACGCCCACTCCGCATAAGTCCAGCGGGATAAGCAGGGGATGCCTAAGGCGGCTGAGACCTCTTTGTAGACCTGTACGTTAAAGGGGCACTCGAGGAGGAAGTGGTCCATGGACTCCACTTCCCCGGAACATTCCACCCGAGGACAACCACGATCCGTTATGTTCCTGTACTTCAAGTTCCCTCGAACGTAAAGTCTACCGTGGAAGGAGAGAAACGCCACGTCTCGGTATTTCTCCGGAAGGCGCCTGGAGTTGATGTTTTTCAACCCCGAGGCGAGAGTACTTGGCGGGCAGTCCTTCAAAGCAAGCTGAATGCCAAAGTGGGTGGCCAGGACCCTCCCGTCGAGAAGCTTCTTGGGAGTGTCCCGAACCTCCTCCACCGTGACGTTCCACCTGCGCAGAATTCCCACTCCCTCGATGACCGAAGACGGAAGATAGCTAGAATGCCGAACTCTTATGCTCTTCACCCTCCCACCCTGAAACCAGTCCACCAGGAAAGGTGTGACCCACTCCCTGAATATACATACCCAGCCAGGCTGCTCGTCCTTCAGGAGAGCCCCGAAATTCCTTTTCAGGAAGGTGTTAGTAAAGAAGACGATGGGGTTGACCATGGTCAGACCCCCGTCCTTTCTGGCCAGGTAAGTGACCTCTCTTTTGATGAGGTTCAGCCTGTTCCCCCACAACATGCGGAAGAACAGCGCAAACATCCGAGCGTGGAGGGACCTGGGCAAAAGGAAGATGTTACTGATGATGTAGAATTATTAAAATCTTTATTAGAACCTGTATTGAATTATTGTACTAACTCCATTTTGTTCACCTTACATGACAGAATTTCCTGACAGTATTCAGTATAATGAATAAGAGATTGTATTTTCTCTCTCTAAGGACATAACTAGCCCCGGAGTTAGCGGATCTCCGTTGACTTGCAACATAGTATAATCCAAGGCCAGGAGAACAGT